CACAATCTGTTCGATGTGACAAGAGCGAAGAAACTGCAACTGCAAATGGAGAGGTGCATGCCTGAGATTGACGCGAGGTTGGTCGACGGCACGCCACTGGCAATCTGGGAGCGGGTGAAACACGTTCGCATTGATTGCGACAGCCAAGTCAGTTTCTCCATGAAGATGCTGGCGACAACGTTGCAGCTGCGATGTGCTCCTAGGGCGTGATTGGCTTTGCACTTACAATCCAAGCATCGATTGGAGGAATTGCGACATTCGTTTGAAATGGGGTGCGAGTGGCAATGACTGCCGAAGTGGAAACCACCCGACCCTAGTGAACAACGTGACTATCAAGCGTGTAATGGCACGTCGCGTGGACGTCTACGCTGTTCGATGGATCGCATCAACGGAGGTGGCTGAATAGACCGACCTGGAGAAGTTGTGTGCTGCTGTACTGAGGACTTGGCGAAGGTCAGCGCAAGTACGAGAAGATTTTTCCTGATGACTTGCCCACCCGGCCTGCCACCCAAACGACCACACGATAAAAAAATTGAGCTGGAACCTGGCGCACAACCGAACGTCCGATCGCAATGGAGGCTGGGTCAATGGAGCTGATGAGTTGCATACACAACTAGATTATCTGCTGGAGGAAAACTTTATCCGCCCATCCACATCACCCTACGCCGCGTCGATTCTCTTCAACCCAAAGAAAGACAGAGGCCTATGGACAAGTACCAATTATCGAGCGCTCAACAACATCACTATAAATTCCGTTACCCGATTCCGCGAGCCCGACGATCTCATCGACCAACTTCGCGGGGCCAGGATTTTTTCCAAGATTGATCTACAAGGAGGTTACCATCAGATTCGTGTCGCTGAAGCTGATATTCCGAAGACTGCTTTTCGAACCCGTTATGGAAGTTACGAGTATACACTGATGCCGTTTGGGGCTGACGAACGCACCCTCCACTTTTCAACTAACCATAAACAAAGTCTTCCCGCTCGCTACTGGACAAGTGCGTCATCGTCTACCTGGGATGACATCCTGGTGTACAGCACCTCGCGGGAACAACATTTGATGGACCTGGAAGCAAATTTTACCCCTCTGCAATCAACACTGACTCATTACCAAGGGCTCTAATTGCGAGTTCTTAAAAGAGGAGTTGGAATTCCTGGGCCACGTCATCTCAACCGAAGGCGTGTAAAATTGACCCAAAAAAGATCGACACTATTCGCAACTGGTAATTGCCTACAAACGTCAAGGAGTTGCAGAGTTTTCTGGGGTTCGTCAACTACGTGCGCCGCTTTATACTTAAGAATGGCGGAGTCAAAAGCCTCGTTAACCGACTTAATACAGAAGGGGGTTTTTATGAGTGGGGGGGGAGGCAGCAAGCTGCGTTTGACCAACTGAAAACTTTCCTCATAACGGCACCCGTTTCTTCGTATCGCCGACCCCGACCGCCGCATATGAACTGGTTGATGGACGATAACGACATCGCCATTGGCGCGGTGCTGTTATAGGACTTTGGCGAAGGCTTGCAGCCAATCGCCCCACGTTTCGCGGCGGAAAACTCCAAGGCGGTGAACAAAATTACTCGGTTTCACGACAAGGGAAATGCTCGCGATTGTCAATGCTTTCAAGACCTGGCTGCTACCTCTCCGGTGCCGACGTTACTGTCCGACCAGACCACAAGTCCCTACAGTTCCTCCGAGCCCCAACCGACCCTCAATCCACGACAGATTCGTTGGCTCGAATATCTCGAGTCCAACTCCACTACCGAATCACCTACAAGAAGGGGGGCAAATAATATTGCCGATGCTTTTCCCGCCCTACCCCATACAGCCGCCGTACTAATCGCCCAAGCTAACCTGCGGCTAACCAGACTGTTTACCCACGGCTACAATATGGATCCTCTCTTCACCTCTAACGGCCACCAGGCCCTCACCACTCAACGAGCCACTACCACCTAAAAGCTGGTACTGGACTGAGTTTGGGTTGCCCACCTGCCAACTGAATGAAATCCTCTCGTCAAAAGCCAGTTGGATTAATGCAACCGTTAGAACCGCCCACCAAGCCCTAGACACACGTGCCATGGACTTCGTGACAGGAATGCCACCCGGCGCATCCCAAAAATGATGGTATACTCGGGTCGTTAACCAACTCACGAAAATGGCCTCATTTCTCGCCATGTGAAACGACCGCTCACAGCCAACAAAACCGCCAAGTTGTTAATCTCAATCATCGTTTACCGCACGGAATCCTGAAGGCGATCGTGAGCAATCGTGACCACCGATTCACGTCCAACTTTTGGACAAAAATGTGGGAACAGTACGGTACACGTCTCCATCTATCAACGGCTTACCAACCCACAGACCGATGGTCAGACTAAAACGGGACAAATTCAGACCATGGAGCAGCTAATATGGACAACCTGTACTGAACCGACCCAATGGGAAGATTCCCTTCCCCTTGATCGAGTTCGCATATAACAACACCCCTTCGTCAAACGACTGCCCAATAACCGTTCTACCCAAAGTACGGTCTAAACCCCACGACTCCCACTACACCGTTAGTTGAGAGCCCTTCCTTACGATCACAATCGTTCGTCAAGGACTTACAGGCTGCACAGAAAAACGCTACCAAGGCCATTTCAAAAGCCAACCTTACGGCCAAACAGTACGCGGACAGGCATCGACAGGATTTACCCTTGTCTCCTGGGCAACTATTCCTTCTGGACACCAAGAATTTGGGGTTGAGTTTACCACATAAACTCCGTCTGAGATTTTGTGGGCCCTTCCGGATTGTCCGAATGGTGACACCTGTCACCGCCAAGTTACTATTTACCAGACAACTGGCATATCCACGATTCATTCCACGTCAGTCTCCTTCGACAGTTCGTTGCAAACACGGCTGATCTCGGCCGTCAACGAATCTACCTTTGATTAGCCCGTCCCTGAGCCAACCACCGAACAACAGTAGATCCTCTCCCACCGAATCCGCCGAGACTAAGGTCAACGGGTTTTGGAATTTCTGGTTCGATGGGTTGTCGTACGTGCGACAACGACATGTGGGTCCCAACTGCTACCCTCGACAACCACCTATTACACGATCGGACTGCCCCCAAATGTGGGTAGTCTCGTCTAGGAGGGAGAAAGGTGTAAGAAAAATCCATTTCCCTTATCGAGCCTCGCCAACATCGAGTACATCCCCGACTTTCGGAAGTCCAGTCTCGGGCCGACAGTTCAGATTCGAATTATGTTCGAGACCCCAAGCCTGCACGTGGCGTCGCGTCCGACACTTCCGAACCACATCGTGTGTGTTTCGTGGCCTTCCTCGAGGCTCTCTTGCTAGGCTAGCTGGGCTTGTATTTAGCCCTGTGCTTCATTTGTACTCGACACACTTTAATGACGACCTCACTATTGCATTACTCGACTCCTATCCGGAGATTACTGTATCAATACAAACTTCACGGAAGAACAAGGAAGTACAACTTTTAGATCGTCTAGTTCACGCGGAACTTACACGCAGCTTGAGCCTGTAAGCAGGAAAACGCTCCAACCCGGGCAATCGGGACATTGAAGGGGAAACCCAGCAGTAAAGACTGTCACTCGGTTACAAAGTCTCACCCATGCACTAGGTAATTTGCATGTGCGACCTCCTGGATCTGATTCTCGCCATTGTCGAAATACGACTTGACTGTTCGCTATCGTTCAGACAGCAGCCAATGAGGTTCAGCGTCAATGCAAGTCATGCTGAGACCTGGTAGGTGAGATTGCAATTTGGACTGTTCCGGGTGGGACAATCGAGAAAAACTAGTGTAGTTCGGTTCTGACGTTTCAGCAACTGGAAGTCTAAATCGACCGCTGGAAACAAAGTGGAAAGAGATTGTGGGAAAAACTTGGATTCATAACCGTCCGATGTAAACGACCAACCAAATGGATGTGCAAAACCTATCGCGAGCCAAATTCGCCCAAACCTGATTTTTGGTTTGGAAGTTTTGTCGAAACCAAAGGGCCTCGCCACCTGCGCTTCGTTTTCGTCCCTTTTTTTTCACCTCGCCTACCCCTTCCCCAGCCAAGTGTTAAAACTCTAGTAATTATGAGATGGAGGCTTATCTGTCGTGGCTTATCTCCATAGCATCCGTATCTTATCTCCCTGTCGCGTGATAATCTGCTATCGAGGCCCCAGATTCCTTCGGCGTGTCGCATGCGTGTCGCTTGCTAAGCTGTCACAGGCTTGTCGCACACGCCGTCGCCATGTCGCAGCTGTCCGTCGTGCTTGCGACGGCGGGTTACGACCACACGATCCGATTCTGGGAAGCCACGTCGGGTCAATGCTACCGCACGATTCAGTACGCCGAATCGGTATGTTAGTCGCCGATACGGTACAATCAGTACGTCAGGCGTTGAGACACAAACAGTATGCTAGCCATGTATGTTTCGAGTTGGCTGAAATGCCACGTCGGGTCAATGATACCGCACGATCCAATACGCCGAATCGGTACGTCAGCCGTTGAGACGCGAACTGTATGCTAGCCGTTAAGAGCGTGTTCAGGACAATGCGTGTCGATGTGTTGGAGAAGACGACGCTGGCAAACCAGGGCGGCAGTTGGTCCCCTGCTTGCAGCCCTTCGTCGCGGGTCAGCAATCATTTCCACCCGTGTGATCATCCCGCTGTCAACCTGAGCCGAGCAGCGTGTGGGTCAATGGGGGAGATTTCAACGAGTACCTTGAAATCACCTCACCCCCACTCACCCCATCTTTCTCTGCCGTCTTTTCAAGGAGCGCCTGGGCCGCGCGTCTGTGGGTCGGCGCAACCCTCTGAAACTCGCCCATCTCTTCCCTGACGTCCCCTTTTTTCTTCTTTTTCTTTTTCTTTTTTTTCCCCTGCGCCAGAGCAGCAGCAGGTGAACCGCATGGAGTTAGTGCATGCCGGGCAGGGGATTTATCAACTACCAATAACCATATTTTTATCTATATATGCGAATCATCCCCTGCCTCCCCCCTTTCCACCAGAGCAGCAGGCGAACCGCACGGAGATAATACCAGTCAAGGCACGAGGCATCTGATAAACCATCCTGATTCTCCCTCTTCCCCCTTTTCCTTATCATCAGCACTACACCCCCTCATTGCGCCAGAGCAGCAGCAGGCGAACGGCATGGAGATCATGCCGGTTCGATAGCCGTCATTATTTATCCCACATTGTCTGCTCTGCACCCCAATCCTAATCCCCCCCTTTCCCCTCCCAGCCCCTCCCCTCCCCCCCCCCCTCCCCCAAAGCGGTCCTTTGTATCCATTAGGAGCCTGTGTACAGAGCTAGGCAAATGGGTCGGGAACGTGCATGCATCCTAAACCTCTCTCCCTCCCCTGGCTAGCCTACGTTAGCTCCCCAGTGGGCTCCAAAATGATGAAGCAGTCCCCGAGGGACATGCCTTCGTCAGGCGCCCCAAGGACGGGCCCCTCGAGCGGGGAGGCTTCATTCACCTTGCCGAGGTATGAGAGGGCCTGCCCGCGCTAGAGGGTGACCGACCACCGCTGCCGAAACTGGTTGAGCAGCTTGGCGGCTTGGTACGAGCTCGGGTTCGCATTGAAGAGGCGGCGGGCGCCGGTATTGGCCAAGAGCTGTAGGAAAGCGGGCACCTCGGCACAGGGACACCCGTAGGTCTCCACGGCGAGGGGGAAGAAACCGACGTACGGCGCACGGTTGCGATAGTGGTCCATCTTCTTGTCTGCTTGCTCCCGCGCCATGTACCCCCTCCCTTTCCGCGCCAGGGGGTCGCGGCTGCTGATCGGGTCGGTGATGGTGACGTCACAGATCCATACAGCGCCCGAGTCTCGGTCCCGGATTGCCAGGTCGACAATCTGGTCGCCGATTGGGGTATAGGTGGCAGTTTCTTTCTCGACGATGAACTGTGCATCTCGCGCCATGCGGATGCACTCGTCCCGAAGAGCATTATGCGTGTCAGTGCGCCCGTGTCCTGTCCCACAGCTGAGCAGGTGGTTCGGGAGACGCGGGTCGGGGATTTCCACCCGCTTGGCGCAGTTGCAGACCCTTGGGACTGGGAAGGGGAGGCCCAGGTGAAAGGCTAGGGCGATCGCGAAGTGCGGGGGAGCGAGCCGGAGGGAGGGGAATAGGGGGATGGCCAGGAGCCAGTCCCCTGCGCCATACC